AAAAATGAGTCCTTAGCGGCTTAACGTGGGGTGACTTGTTACAAAAATCACGCCACATAGCATGCAGTATGAAGCTTAGTGAAAAGCTTGTTTTTGTCTCTTCCAGTAGAATTGATGGTGAATTTTGGAAAAATGGAATCTAGATGATATATATGATAGGATTGGGAAGCAATTCGAGAAACGATATCAGGCTGTGTAGATCTGTCTCGATAATGGCGGAAGAACAGAGTACAGTAGACTTCTAGCTGTGTGTTACACATGCTATGTAAAATTCATTTGATCGAGATTCCACACCTATCATAACATATCACCAAAGTACGAAGTAGAGTGGGAACGCGATGTGTGAAACGACAATATGTGTTGTCGATGCTTCATGCTTTGATATGGGAGGATATGGCCTGAAATTCATGCAGACGGCAGATAAGTAATCAACCTCCTTCCACCCTACTTCGTACGGACATGAATAACTCGCTCTTGATGCATGGGGAAGTTGATCGTGTCGCCACCTGGAAGCTCCACTCCACAATGACCACTGAGATCAATTATTATGAAGAGCTGACTTCATGCATCTTCGATGGTATAGCAGGCCAAGAAAGCGACAGATACTGTGCGTGTTGTGCTTCTAGCAACATGTAAGGCTGTGATGCGATTGTCTATCACCACCAAACGCGATTCCATACTAGGGAGATATGACGATACTACAAATCAAAAGTTATGAGGGTTTCCAGCTTGATCCCCACATTCTCACTACTAGGTAGAGAGAGAGTTGTTTGGGTATTATTTGAACCGAATTGGTGTTTTTGAGAAGTTACCTAGAGTAGTATTCAAGTAGAGAACTTGCGGACTTACCCGACACTCATGACAATTGGGGGCGAAATTCGCGGGGTAAAGTGCTAGTCTTCTTCTCAATCATGAACCAAATATCTAGAGATCACCGGGGAACATTCCAATTTGCTCGACGACTGAAAATTGAGATGCTTTTCCATGTTTCCATCTACTCGTTTTTCAAGATCTGGTTAGAGAAAAGACGTAGTTGATAATGAGGATGAAGATGCGATTGCTGATGTGACAGCTGTATTCCGTACTCTGTTCTGTGCATTAAGAACTATGTGGGGTGTACGATAGGTGCTAAACTTATTTACACCTCACTGAAAGTCTAATAAAAAGATTATTATTACTAGACCTACGATTGGTACCTACCTAGACATCTCTCATTTAGAAAACCAACTGGTGAACTCACCTCTTTCCTATTCTTGATTTACCTTATCGTCGCCCATTCGTTGCCGACCTTTCTTGTCCATTGTGATGTAAAAAATCTTCCAATGGATTGCCACATACATTAGAGGAACTAAGTCGCACTTCACTTCAGAACGAAATTTGTCATGATGGGGCTTTCTACGCTATTGCGACATTATTCGCAAATTCAATCAAAACTTCAACTACTCATTGCCATTCGCTCTATCTTTCTACCGCAATGACCTCTCCCTCTTCTGATGAGATTTTCGATAATTGGAGTGGAATCAAAGAAGATGATTTCTCCAAAACAATGTTCGAGACATTCGGACTATCCAATGATGACAATTATCTATATCGCGCCGAATCATTCGCCATGACATTATCACAAATTCAAGAAACGACTAGTACGGGAAAATTAAAGTATCACTACCAAGACAATGGCAAGGTTGTTCAGGTAGGCCATTTCTATTCACAACTTGCAGATTGATGTTGACTGACTTCAAAGGTACCACTCACAGACATCGATGCCTATACTTCGATATTCTCTTCCAAGACCGATACATCTAAAGCTCTAGTAGCATTCTCCTCCAACGCAAAGAAAGGTTCACCTCGAGAATGGGTTGCGAATTACCTTCAATCTCGCCGAATTGCTCCTCCATATAAGATACCGAAAGCCAAAGCACACATAAATCCATACTATGAGATCTGGGCTCACACATGTCGGATGGTATCTTTCCTTGGACCACTTCCCGATGCACATTATGCGAATCCTGCGGCCGCCAAAATGACCCATCCTGTTCTTCCTGTTCTTTACCATCATTTTGGATGTGTCGTACCATCTTACGATTCTCTTTACATAATATCTCAACTTGTGGAAGAGTCAAAAGCCGATGGGGTTATTGATATGGCAAGTGGAAGTGGATATTGGACATATATGTTACGCCGAATGAAGGTAAAGGTCAACGCTGTTGATAACATGGCGAGTGAATACAGAAACATGTGGATACCTGATACTGAAAAGGCAGATGGGGTGGAATATCTGAGGAAGAATGCTGGAGGAAAGAACAAGGTCTTATTAATGGTATACATGATTACAGCTGGGACATTTACGAAACGGGTGTTGAACGCTTACAAAGGAAATACAATTGTGGTAGTGGGAACACAAAACGCGAATCGATACACAGGATTTAGCGACTGTAGTATGGAAGAGTGGTTTCAGAAGGAAATGAATGATTGGGAGCTCACTTGCAGGATTGCAATGCCAAGTTTCGCAGGAAAGGACGAAGGTATGTTTGTATGGAAGAGAAAGACTTTATGAGGCTTATGAAAATTGTTGAGGGCATGGAATTGGGCAAAACTTATGGTGGATCATGATGTATGATGGGCTAGAAATGTATTCATCTCATTGGGGCATTACATTTGATACTGGTATCGATCACGCTTCTGCGATGAACATTTGGGTGATCCTCGAACCTTTGGTATCTGTTTAATGACTTTTCTGATCTGCACTCAAACAACTTGCAATGCAAGCTGGGGCTCTTTTTTTAGAACCTAAAGGATCTTTTAGTTCGAGGTTGAACAATTACATTGCCTGAAACAAGTGTTGGCCATGGTAGTCATTCATTTGTGGGCAATGAATCTGTAGGACAGTTAGTATCGTCTCTACCTGTATTTCAAGTGGTTCTGGTTAATGATTTGGTACGCGAGAGAGAAAAAAGAGCTTACCAGTTGATGTGAAAGATACTTTGGAGAAATGAGTGTAGCAGGCGACGGGGAGAGTGATGTTTACTACTTGGACAATATGAAATAAGGGGTTGAAAACATTGCTGATTTTTATCATGTTGATCGAAGGGTGATGAGGGGAAGGATGGTTTTGTGATTTGGGAGTCATTCAAGATCATCATGATATGCTTACGATTTGCCAATGAATATTTGTCTTCCTGCTTCATTCAATCTACGCTTTTTTCCTCATAAGTATGGGCCTGCTATATGACTTCAAACTCGACTCATTATTAATTCGGTCTACCAAATTTGAAGTTTTCAATGTGTTGAATTAGGCTGAATGGTATACCCTTCAACTTGACATACCCATTATCAAGAAGTCTAAAATATCAAATAGATTTCTGTGGTTTGTTCCCATATGATCGATCATATGCATTCAATATTGTCACTGTAACCGCGTGAATAATACTCATGCTGACGGCACTCGCACATGTAATGTGGTATGGGAAACTCGGGTTGCGATGGAGAAGAGAGAGAACAAAACTTTGGAGCCTGAAGTAGGCGGCAGAAGTGCAGCTGGTTCATTACTGGGAGAAATTGGAAGATGACGGGGGCTACTAGGGCTATTTGATAGGAAGACATCTTGTAAGATCTTAAGCTTGTCATAGTGTGATGGATCCTTCAATCAGGAGTGGTTTAATAACCATTTTTTTCTTTCTTCTTTTGCTATCGAGGGATCAATTATTAATATTGGTAGGTGGGGTTTGCGTGAGTTTGAAGGTACATGAGTGGGCGGATAAGAAGAAGTCAAATCCATTTGGAAGTATATTCTTTTAAGATCTTACAAAACTATTGAGAGGGAAGAGAAGGGAAGATTGATATATAAGTGGTCAATTACCTAGCAAGTGAATCGATAAAATATTAGATTTTATATACGCGCGGTTGATGTCGACGACGATGAGTGTTTTTGAATTGAGTGAAGGGCTACTGGAAGAACTCAAGTAGTTCTAGTGATAGTGATAGCTTATCTATCTGGCAAGAGTGGATAAATATCTGGGCATTCTCCAGCCTTAGCTGAATAAACACAACAGTACAGTTTGCATTTGGAGTTCAAGCTTTGACGAGCAAGCATCGGATAAAGTTCAGAGATGGAACATTCCACAGAACAAAGTTGAGACTGCTATTCAGCTATACCCGATCAAGGGAATATAGCAGAAGTCAGAATAATCTCAATCTTACCTTTGAAGCGAATGGAATCTTAAATATCTAAGAAATATGCGCCTTGTTTTTTGTATGTTACCCTTGACTTGGTCGACCTGAGTACTTCTGCCTCAAGCATACTTAGACTAGCGCCTAAAACAGTATGCGAATTTTATCCGAACCCCTACTTCAAAGATCAGCATACTTATACGTATTACACTCCATCCCTTCAATGCAGCTTCAAAACAATCTTCATCCCTGCATTAATATAGCCCTCGACATAAATTCGACGTCTAGCAAGGCCTAGTACACTTCTGGTAAGTTCAATGGAAACATTTCTGTGAACGAATATGGCAAATAGCAAAATCTCATCTTATTTATTCTCAGGGCATATCTTCTCATCAATGTGGTACAGATGTAGTCCAGCCAACATACTAGAATACCCTAACCTTCAATCTTTTCAATCTTAGAGTCTCTATCAAGGTATAAAAGTACGGAAAATCAAATGAAGCACAAATACAGTCTTGTTGACTCCACACTCACACGATTCCAAGAATTCCTGGCGTCAATTGTGGCTCCTATGGTCGTTTGCTATGCGCCCTAAGTAGCGCCTCTGATTTCCTGGGCGAAAAGAACTTATAGATATATCTGCTCTAATGACATGCGTCACAGTACTCATTATGCGAATAAGGTTTTTTTTGATCAATCTTACGTACTCGATTCCGATAACTCAATTTTACAAAAGATACCGCTCGCCCACTGATTTTCATTTTTGTTCTTCTCTCCCAATTCATCCCTCTCCTTCTGTTACTACCTTCTCAGAAGGCATTTCACCATTCAGTATGGAATCCAGGATGAGACAACGAGGATCCCAGCGAATTGTGAGCACTGGGTCTAGTGTCTATATCTCTGACGATTCGACCCTGCTGCAGAAAACCAAGACACGAATACTGCTCCTCTTTGAGGAACTCCCAGAGTGGGCAAAGGATAATGAGTATATTCTCTCCGGTTGGAGACCCGAGACAAATTCCTACTGGGAATGCTTCAAGAGCATGGGATATATCCACAACGAATCAGCAACATATACACTCATTTCTTCGCAACCGTATGGATGGTTATGTTAGGGTCATGGTGGAATGGATATGCAAAAGAGTGGTATCCAGCTACCAATTCTGATGATGCCATTATTTTTTGTCTTTTCTTTCTAGGTGGAACTGCCTGTTACATTCTTTCAACAGTTTACCATCTATTTTCAAACCATTCGCATGCAACTTATCTCCTTTGCTTGAAGCTCGACTTCCTCGGAATCCTTGTTGTCATTGCAGGGAGTTTTCCACCAGGACTCTGGTAAACTTTTCCATGCGCTTCACGCCAATTGAAATTTACATGGATTGCGGTAAGTATCAAAAGATCCAAAGAATTGAATAAAAGAGAAAAGGAGATTTTTTTTTAATAGAATGTAATTAATATTTTATATCAAATATAAGAAACTCTATTAATAGTTTTAGATATAAAGATTAGAAATCCTTTATTCATTTAATATTTCAATTTTAACTTTTTTTTTAATTCAAAATTATTATAGATATTTTGTTAAATTAATATGCAAAAAATACTAAAATTTGTAATTTATTCGAAATGCAAATTGATAAAACAAAAAAAAGAAATTTGGAGTTCAAATTTAAAACAAAAAAACTTGAAAAGGAGTTTATGGAGATATATTTACTTGTTAAATAAAAAGAAATTGTGAAAATATAATTAGATATTTTAAATTACTAAACAAAAACTATTAAAAATTTAACTTTTTGAAAAGTAGAGAATTTAAAAGAAGAATTAAGAACCTTTAGAGAATAGATAAAAGCTATTAAAGTGTTAGCTATTCAAAAAATAGAAAATTTAAGAAAACAGTTAAGGATCTTTAAAATAGATAGAAGCTATCAAAGTATTAGTTATTCAAGAAACAAAAAACTTAAAAGAAAAGTTAAAAATCTTTAAAGAATAGATAAAAGTTATTAAAGCATTAGTTATTCAAAAAACAAAAATCTTAAAAAAATAATTAAAAGTTTTTCGAAAAGAAATAGAAATTATTAAATTCTTAGTTATTCAAGAAATAGAAATCAAAAATAGATTATTTGAATAGTTGAAAGAAATTAAAAAGATTTTTGAATTAATAAGGATTAATGAAAACTTAAATATTCAATAGATAGAAGTTTTTAAGGTTGAGCTAACAATTGTAAAGAAATAATCAAAAGTTATTAAAAAAGAGGAGGGTATTATATTCAAAATTATAAAAGATATATATAGTAAGATAGAGAATATCAAAGATTAATATACAAAACAATTTAAATATTTTAATCAAATTTAAGATAATCTTTGAAAGATATAAAAAGAAAACATAATCTTAACTGAAAGAGTCAAGTTCTTTATAATTAAGCTCAAAATTATTGATATTATAATATAGATAAAAACTAATAATCTTTATAATATTTGTATTGTAATAAATCTAAAGATATAAAATCTTGAGACAAAATTCAAAAAAAAACAAAAACAAAATTTTTGCTGTTATCAAAAAATTAAAATAAATGAAAATAGAATTCTCTATTTTAAATTTAATTTATAAATTAATCAAAAGTTTTGAAATATATAAAAAATTGATTAAATCTTCTAAGATTTTTAATATTTTAAAAAGAAATCAGAAAAGATTACTTATAATTCAAATATCTTTTTTAATATCTATCTATACTTAAAAAACTTATATATAGTTATTAATTTCAATTAATTAATTAAATATTACTAAATAAAATATAATTCTAAAAAGATTTAAAAATATTTTTAATATTAAAATAGTAATTAGTAAGTTAATATTAAGTTATTATTATAGTATTGAAAATAGTTTTATTAAATATAATTCAAATAAAAGATGTAGGACAAATATTGGTATAATCTTTTTATTAATAATTGAATTTTTAAAGTAAAATAAACTTCTAGTATTAGAATATGAATTTTTTAATAAATTTATTTTTTATAAAGAAATAAACATTTATTAATTAAAGATTTGTATTAATTATTACTTTAAAGAAAAATTAAATTACTTTAACAAATTTATTGAATATCTTATATTATTTGATAAGAAAAGAAAGTTCTAATAATATTTGAATAATATTATTTTTGATAGTTTTAAGAATATAAAATCAATTACAAAAGATAAATCTTATTCAAAATATAGATCTGATTATATATAGATTAGAGTATTAATAATCAAGTTATCCAATAAAAACCAATTGAAAATTTTAAAGGTTTTATTTATTTAAAATAAAATCAAATTAATATAAAATCTATTATCTTTCCTATTTAATTATTTTAAATAATTTTCTTTAAAAAAAATATATAATTATAAAAAAAATATATTTTATCAATATAATAATTGTAAAAATAATTAAAAAGGATTATATACTTAAATTAAGTTTATAATATTTTAGAGAATAAAAAATTAGAAATATACTTTCTTTCTAATTTGATATCTTTTTATTATATACTTTGATTTATTAAGATTATAAAAAAAAGTTTACCTATATATTATTATTTTTGATAATCATTTATTTTAAATAAAATAAACAATTCGAAGGATTTTTTATAATTTTTATTAAAATTAATATTAGAATAAATATATATTAAAGAATGATATAATTTTAACAATTATAAAATACTTTTTAATATATTTTATTACTTTACTTAATTAAGTTGATACTTTAAAGCTATTAGAAGATTATTATATATATTCTAGAAAGAATAAAAATTAGAAAACTTTCTAATAACCAATTGAAAATAAAGTTATATATAATTTACCAATTTGTATATTAAAATAAAAGTGATATAAGATTACTAAATTATATTCCGCTTGAAATATCCAATATACTTCCTCTATAAAGGTCGCGATTATTTTGAAAGAAATTATAGGCTCTTTCAGGGTATATACTATAAGGCTCTATAATTTATTGGATTTGATCGGGATCTATAAAATCTGATCTTCGCTCTACCCGAATAAACTAATGATATCTGTATTCTAAACTCAATTAAACTCTAGATTAATTCAAAACTGTAATGCCTAAAGCTTATAGGCTTATCGAGCCTAATGTAGGCTTAAAATTATTTAAATACAGATTCTATAGTACTCAATTAGTGTGCCTGATTATAGGTATCTATAGGGCTACTCAATCTCTTTCAAAATAATTATAATCTCCATATATTCATATACAAATAACCCCTTTAAAAGTTATTATGAAAGGTAATTAGTAAATTTATTATAAATCAATCTAATAACAAAATCATTTATTGAAAAAATAAAATTTGAATTATTATCTTATAAAATATTATAGATAAAATGAATCTATATATTCAATTCCGAGATTCTAATTAAAATATACTTCGAGATAATAAACTTTTTTTCTATATTTCATATTACTAATTTTCATTAACAACTAAAGATATTAGAGCTAAATAAAACAAATTTGATAAATAATAATTTTAATTATTAATTATATTTATTTATAATTAATCATAAATATATCTTATTATTTTATATATATTAATAATTATAAAATAATAAATAACTAATAAAAGCTTATATAATAAATAATAAATATCTTTTATTAATTGTACTTCTTATTTATATTTCTATGATTTATTAATAAAACCTTATTATTATCATATAATATTCTCTATATTAATCTTCTTTCCTTTTTTATTATTAATTAAAAACTTATTGAGAACAAAATATTAAAAGAAAATAAACTTTCACAAATCTAATAAAGTTTTTATAGGGTTTTTATATAATATTTGAAAAAACTTATGTCAATTAAACAAATAATTAAATAGAAATATAAAAACTAAACAATCTATAAATATTACTATTAATTTAATTAATTATTATCTAAAAATTCTATTATTGTTATACTATTATAAAAACACTAATCTATCTATTTCCCTATACTCGTTACTTAGGGTTAGGGTTAGGGTTAGGGTTAGGGTTAGGGTTAGGGTTAGGCTTAGGGTTAGGGTTAGGGTTAGGGTTAGGGTTAGGGTTAGGGTTAGGGTTAGGGTTAGGGTTAGGGTT